ACTATTTTAGGGATGTGTAGCTTTGTCTAACACTCTGCTATCGTGACCGATTGAACGATTTCCTTGAAGCTGCCTTCGCTGACAGTCGTGTCAAATTGAACGATTTCCTTGAAATTGTGTTTGCTGGCAGCCACGGTCTAACTTTGACCTGCCTTAAGTCAGTGACCTTACAAGGAAATCTAATATTTTATGTGAAAATATCTGCTATTTAATTGCCTACAGCTGTAGAAACTTGGCTGCGACTAGGCCACGCCATTCGAAAATCATTTTGTAAAAGCCTTTGGGACTCAAATCGACCCCTTATCCGAACGCGTGTCAACATTCCTGAGCATATAACCATACTCAGAACAGACATAATAGCTAGATCTGCGCTGCTCCAATCTAGGATCGTTTTGAGAAAGCTGAAATGTGCTAACAAAAAAAAAAGACAAAATTGCACAGAGCGAACTTTCCTTGAGTGATCCTGATATGCATGGTTTGGTTCAACAATAATGGCTGCAATTTTTGCGTTGCGGTTTCCATCATTAAATTTATATAGTATGCAAAACATTTACTGGCCGGGTTGTGTATAATTCCAGCGTTTTTCAACTCAGTCAACAACTTCTGCTTTTCATTTTGATAAAGGCATGTTGCCAAAAAGTCAACACATCTATGTCTTCATTCTCCTCGTTTTTCTCCGAACACCATCGCTTTTACTTTTGTTTTATCTACGTGTTTTGTTTTTTTCTTATTCTGGAACATCTACCGCATGCTCTCTTGGCAAACATGAAAATGTTATTTACTTCCCTTACCATGCTTTGCACATGTTCATTCCAGTTAGTCCTATCCGATTTTTGCCTACTGAGGTGCCTATATTTACCTATCACTTAAATTACCCTGTCACCACGGGCGTAGCTTCGGGAGCCGGACAGCGGAAAATGACACAACCTTCCACAAAAATGCATCCATAAATGGGTCTATCCCGGACTTCGTGTGGTTTCTTCTCAAAGTTGGGTTGGGGGTTCGAGGCCAAAAACTGCACCCCTGGCCGTCACAAGAAAACAAAATGTGGTTCTATCTAACATCTTCTGTTCGTTGTTCGCGTAACAGCGCATTTACAAGCGGTTCAAAACGGATGTTGCACACTTGATGGTATTGAGGCAAACTTCAGATATGATGAAATAAGCTCACTTATAACTGGCATACTTTTTAATGGAAAAAACTGCTCTAGGCAGCACATGTACTCTTCTTAGTAAACATGCCCTTCGAGGCGTCACTGTTTGATTGCGTCATCATACCTTGCAAAATATTAAAAGAGAGCCAACTGCCGGCCGTTTTATCTAGAAGCCGTGCTCGCGAACACCAGATATGAACGACTCGACAGCTATGTTTATCTCGGCGTTGATCGCCGCCTGGCCAATAGAATGCCAGGATTTGACATCATGTTGACGTCATGGATACCTGGGTGACATTGGAAAAGCCTTCCCGAAAAGTCTGCAAATCTTCACGGGCGCGTAACTGGACAGCTACGGGCGTTTAGGTATTATGAAGGGCCGGGCTGTGACATGCACCAAATGCTTTTTAAGATGTCCATTTCATTTCAAAACCCTTTACAAATTTGGAACACTCCCCTTAAGCCCATCAGTTACATATCACAGTACCAGACTGTTAAGCATAGGCTTTCCTGCGCTAAGTTTCAGTCGTCTGGCTGTTATAGGTATAAAACGACAATGTCGGAAATACACGTATGCTGCAGTTCTGTCCTTTGACTTTATCAGTTATTTCCTACAGAAATCGGTTTATGTTCAACATTCCTAACCCAGCTGACGCCCTTATCGGACCCACCATGCACCTCGCTCTGCTGCGCAGGTTTCTTGCTGGGCCCATCCCGGGCACGGACTTGCGTCCAGCTGGTATACAGCGCTTCTTCCAGATGGGGACAGGCGGGGTCCCAGCTGGAGCTCAGCGCCTGCCCAGGCCACGCTGATGTCCTGATATTTAGCCAACATGTGCTCAGGTGGTGCCCAGCTAGGCTGCAGGCTGTGCCCAGGCCACAGACCATCATAAAAAATGTTGCAAGGGCCATCTGGAGGCGTGCTGCGCATCCTGTTGCTGCCTACCCAGTCTGACCGTCTGGGGCTCGGCCGGGGCCTCGATGGATTGCTGGCTGGGTATGACACACAGCAAGCTTACAATATGCGTACGGTGGTACCAGCGGGAAGATGCATTCTTAACAGGTGGGCATCTGCCGAGGCGTATTTGGGTGAAAGCTCACGACCATTTTTGGACCTGATGCCTGGTAAAGTGCTTCTGTTTTACTTTATGTCAACTGAAGAGTACAATATATCTTATCAATGCAATTTTTAGTGTGTCGAGAACCTGCGTGAAGTGGTTGTGGTAGGCAAATGTGTTGTGGACGCTATTCTTGTTCATGCATGAATGAAAAAAACACAAACCGCCTAAGCGCATGATGGTAAAATGTACGCAGACCTCATTTTTCGACATGCAAGAGATATTCAACTTCACCCCTACAGTTTTATTAAACATGAGCGTTTATAAGATGCTGATGCAAAGAGTGGTAGGCTTTTACGTGTCATTGGTGTGGCTATGCACCTGAACTTTAAAAACAAGTGGTAATTGTTGGTGATATATAAATATGTATATATACATATATATATATATATATATATATATATATATACTCACTCGAGTATATACGCTCACTCACAAATTCGTATATTTGCTCGAGGGTCATTCTATATATCATGGAAGCCCGGATAAGAAGTGGACCAATCCGATAATTTTTTCCAGCCTGTTCTCTCATGGCGACTTCCAAGACTCTGTCCCCCCAATCATTTTGAGAAACCGGCACCCATGTTACCGAATACTAGTACCGTGTAGAACACCTGTATGGACGTATCAGCCGCTTGTAAGGTCCCGTTCGCAATATGAGGTTTAAGTGCGCATAGCTCACGTCCATTGAACCTCATTGTTTGGTTCAGATTGCATCGTAACTCTGTGCGTCCCTGGGGAGGAGTTGGTCTAAAACTGTTGGGAAGCACCGCCATTGGGAGCGGTGCAGCTCTGCACGCTCTGCAGCGAGACGCACAGGAGGTTTCCGGGCCGCCCGCGGTCGGGTGGCAGCGTTTCCTACCGCGTAGTGCCCTGCTGTCGCAGTTTCCGTTGACTCGAAAGCGCATGGGAGGTTCCAAATTATAATTATTGGAAGAACAGCTGTAACCACAAGTCAGGAGCGTCGTTTACGGGGTGCGTGCAAATGCTCTACCCCGGAGTCGTTGGTGGTGAGAATTGTGGGAATGCCGGCAACGGTGATCATTTTACGTCCAAGTTGGGATTGCTGATTACTATTTGCCTGAAGAAGTCTGACGATAGGGATACCAAAATTTGGAACATCAACTGAATTGGATTTCAGGTGAAAATTATGTTGTAGCTGTGATTCGGTGGTATTCACAATACGCAGACTACACATATCGACAAAGAAAAACCGTGTATTGTAAGGCATGCTGAACACCACCTACATATTGGGCTCAGTCGAAGTTGAAACACAATTAACTTCATGCAGGCTGTAATACGGCTAAGAAACAACCGTTCGCTTGCATCATTTCTTCTGTCTGACATGCATCCAGGTCTAAGACACCTAAATGTGCATGTGACAAGCTTCTATGTTCGGGGAAACATTTTAAAGAGGAACAGCTCCCATCCACAGCCACAATCAACCATCCTGCACCTCATACAAAAAAGTCAAAATGTTGTACGAGACATAGTGCATGGTCATATGCCGACAGCTGGCATCGGAAGCTACAAACGAGAAAGCACAGCGACAGGCAGAATGCACGTATCTTAGTCTAAAGCAGATAGTGCAGTGAAAACGCACTTGTTCTGACAAGCCTCCCCGGTGCGACCCCCACATTGCGTTGCCAACAAACAGGCCGGGGCTCTCATTCTGGCGCAGAGCTCGTGCGGCGCGGCACGGGAACCCGAGCGAATCTTGGCAGCTGCGGGCTGCTGGCAGGCCCAAAATGGACCAAATACGCACTCTCACCTCTGTCCTGAGCGAAACGGGTGCGGTCGGGGCCGACCAGGCAGTGGCGCGCTCGGCGCATCTGCACGCTCTCTGCAAGGTGGCGGATAGCGGACGGGGAGCACTGGCAACCGTTGAGGCCGGAGCTGACGCGGTCCTGGCGGCGTACGGTGGCCGGCTTGGACAGTGGCCGGCGGGGCATTTCGATGGCGGCCAGTAACAAAAATATTCGTGTATGTGCTTCCCTCTGGCATTGACGACATTGTGTGCTACATATTGCTAGTGTAAATTGGGCGAATTGGCTTCACCGTATCTCGAGAACTGTCCGTGGCTGTGTAAGGCTTGCATGCCGTACACATCTTACCACGGAGAACATCGCGCACGGCCCAGGTAGCAACGGTGCGCAGGCAGACCAAAACGGGACTCACCACAGACGATTTTGATCCCTTCTGACGGCGCAGGCTCGGTGTTAATACATGCAGGCCACACCACCAGGCTCACGTGAATAAGCGTCTCGCACCTCCACTGGCCTAGCGCCAAGATTCAGAGGCCTCCATCGGCGGAGCGCGGAGATTCAGCAGTTTCCCTCAGCGGAGCGCGGAGGTTCAGCGGTCTCCCTCGGCGGAGCGCGGACATTCAGCAGTCTCCCTCAGCGGAGCGCGGAGATTCGGCAGTTCTCCCTCGGCGGAGCGCAGAGATTCAACAGTCTCCCTCAGCGGAGCGCGGAGATTCAGCGGCCTCCCTCAGCGGAGCGCGGAGATTCAGCAGTCTCCCTAGGCGGACCTCCAAGATTCAGCGGCCTCCCTCGGCGGAGGCCGGGGATTCAGCGATCTTCCTCGGCGGAGCGCGGACATTCAGCGGTCTCCTTCGGCAGAGCGTGGAGATCCAGCGGCCTGCTTCGGTGGCGCGCAGTTTACACCCGCAGGCGCGCCGGTGAGGCCGGCCGAGAGCTGGGACGCGCGGGGTGGGCGGCGGGCGCGGGCGGCGCCGCCACCGGACCGCGTGGCGCCAGCATGGCCACCGCCTCCTCGGCACGCGAGGCGCGCCTACTGCGACCCTTCTGGCGCGCCTGCCGTCGGCGGCGCGTCACCTTGGCCAGCTGCGCCAGAAACAGGCGGAAGGCCGTGATGTCCAGGTTCTTGGCCAGCAGGCTGAGAAAGAAGTAGTCGCCGACGCTAATGTTATGCACCACGTCATCAATGTCGGCCGTGCGGGTGGTGAGCGCCCTGCGCTGGAACATCTGTGGTCGGAAGCGTTTCATCAGCATAAAGAACGAGCGGCCAACAAACACGGCCGACGTGATGACAGCCACCGCCCACAGCCAGAACCAAAGCAGCAGGTAGATCTTCTCGTTGAAGATATTGAGCGCCAAGACGCAGAGAGCGTCCAACTCCTGCACAGTGCCGGACACACCAAATGTCTGGAAGGCGCACTTCGTCAGCTTCGGGAAGGTCTCCGTCATCGGACTGACCAGCGCACTGCTGGTGTTGGAGAAGTAGTGGATGCAGCGGGGCCCGTAGGACAGAAACTCGCCGTTCAGGAAGCGGTCGGTGAAAATCAGGTTCAGAATAACATTGATGATGTTCAATGCATCGCAAAGAACGAAGCGCAGGTAGTAGCCGTCGTGCGATCCCAAAGTTTCCGTTACGTACATCGTGAGATTGCCGACGTTCTTTTTGAGTGTCTCTTTGTCCATGGTCGGGAGTCGCAGGTGGTGGACGAGAGAGAAGACGCGGCCATCCTCGTTGATTTCCCACAGCCAGTGCGGCACGTAGAAGAGAACGCCCTGTAGGAAGAGCACGAACGGCACCCACTGGTAGTACAGGTGGTACTTGCGCTCCTCTCCTCGTATCGGCGTCCCCAGACCATGAAAAGCTGCAACGAAAAGGCATCCATGAGAGGAGAAACCGAGTTGACGCCATGACACGCGGGACACCCGTGAATCGATTTCACCAGTCCGTGAAACGTCGTTTAGTATACGGCATTTCACGGACCGGGAAAGACAGCAGTAATTGACGCATGTAAAATACCCTTGAACTCATTGTTCACCAGGTACTTCGAACAGCTTTTACATCGTACATATGGCCATAACCTACTTCCTCTGCTTCATGACCTATGTCCATATAACACCAGTCATTCCCAGCATTGCGTCGTGCCATACAGCTTTACATAGATTAACTACTCTAGTTAGTCAGAGATGATCAGTAACAAAGCATGCGATAATCCACACAATCCACACTTCCCATACAATGATCAGTAGCTCGCCAAGACTCGCACGTTTACACAAGTAAGTTGCATGGAGAATACATGTGTTTAATAACGAAATATGTGCACGAAGCCGTCGCGACTTCTTCTCCGATCTTGACGGACTAACTATGGGTGACGTACCCTTACACCTCGTCCAGGTGTTTTAAATCGTGAATAAAGGGCTCTGTTCTGGCCCAACACCTGGCCGCATCCCCCAACCCACCTGCAGCCACCACGTACCGTTATCGAGACCGAGGTTGTTGGTGGGCAAGGACCCCTTCTGGGGAAGTGTGTAGGTTCCGGATATCCAGCAGTGTGTGTCGATGATGTTCTTTGAGATGCCGGCCTTGGCGCAAGCGCCGCATACGCAGTTGATTGGATTGCCGATCAAGCTGTTGGCTGTCGACAGGATGGAGAATGCTGCGGAGAGCGCCAGCGGGTCAGTTGCCGAACGTCACGTGGCGACAACCAGGGTAGCGCCTCTGTGATCTCCACCGGTCTCGCATATATAACATGGCTTAGGCCAGTATGAGTAATACATGTATATAATAAATGTATAAGTAATTTAGAAAAGGAATACAAAGGTATAAGCAATAAAAAAGTATAAGTAATAAATAGTATAAGCAATAAAAAGTGTAAGTGATAAAAAGTATAGGTACTAAATATATAAGTAAGGGCCTAGTTATAGGACGAGAGCACTTCACTGCACCCGACTCGGTTTAGAATGCTCAGAACAAAGACAAAATGATGCGTAGGCTTATAACTTCAACACAAACATAGTAAGTTAGGCAAGCCAGCACTTCATTATATTTCTTTGCAATTCAAACCATTTCAATGCGTCATATTTCCTTCAAAACAATATCCCGTAGCTTTTGCCATCTGGTGCACTGCACAGGTTTGGGGTATGGTGTGATTTGCAAGCGCTCAAGCAGTTCACATCAAAACAAATTTTTGGAAGATCACAATTCGCACAAAGTTCCGCCCATTTTTGTAACGCGGACCCAGACAGTCTGCACCCCGGTGGCCAGGCGTGCGGCGCTCCACCGGTCGAGCCAGGCGTGCGGCGCTCCACCAGTCCAGCCAGGCATGCGGCGCTCCACCGGTCGAGCCAGGCGTGCGGCGCTCCACCGGTCAAGCCAGGCGTGCGGCGCTCCACCGGTCGAGCCAGGCGTGCGGCGTTCCACCGGTCGAGCCAGGCGTGCGGCGCTCCACCGGTCGAGCCGGGCGTGCGGCGCTCCACCGGTCGAGCCGGGCGTGCGGCGCTCCACCGGTCGAGCCGGGCGGGGGCGTCAACGAACAAGTACGGGAATGCTAATGATACGTTTCGATTCTGCATGTTCTTCTTTGTGATTTTTATGCAGACAGCGGAAAGCGCTGAGAGAAAATGTCTGACAGCCAGGAGGTACCGCAACTTTACATTTTGTGTCTGCGTAGCTTATAGATGTTTGAGAATCGCTGTTCCCTTAAAGGTTTGCACCCAACGCAGAGCGGTGTCGTTTTTCAAAAACAAAAGACCATTCTTACAAGAAATTTGCTAAGAACTTGGACCTTCGAACTCATCATACTGAGCGTTTGGCCGAACTTTTCACAAGGTTTTGCGAGTAGGTTATCGCCTTCTACACGGGAGCTCTGAGTACTTCAAATGCATGGATGTCCACTGTGTGGAATGGGCTCTGAAGTTCAAGAAACCTTGCAGAGATTGAAGTCCAATAGCGTAAAAAGGAAATTCCCGTGGCTAGCCGTTGGTTTAAAACCTTCCTCATTGGCCCTAAGAAAAGGTGTAGTAAAGTTTGTGTTGTGTTGTTTGTTATCAAAGCGCACTGGTCGCAGGCGGAACGCACCACCTCTACCGGTGCCAAAGACTGGCGCCAAAGATGAAACCTTAGACCACGAGGATTTGGCACGCTGCGAAAATTGCACTGTTGGTTGGCTGTTTTTCGTCGCGCACTTTCTATGGCTGTTGGGCGTGGGATAAGCTGCGTATTTCTGAAAAAAACAATAGTGCGACTTAAAGGAGCTTTTCTGCTTCTCACAAAAGGTGAAAGTTGGCTGGAAACAGTGAAATTGAGATAAAAATGTCAGACAGCATCGTTCAAAACTCATAATCATCAGAACAAGCCAGCATCGGTTTATTCAGCCGTCCGACCCCATTCGCTTGTCGTCAGAACATCTTATGGATTTGCGTCACGTGAGAGACAGAGATAAGAAAGGATGATGGTAAGAAATACCCGTGACAAAACAGCCTCTTCCTCCGGACATTAGTGAATACGCAAGAAGTCCATATGCTAATATCTCAAATCGTTTCTGACAAAAGGAAGACTGAAGCATGCCTGATACCGCTGTTGACTACGCTCTGCTCGTTTTATTGCATAAACCACATTACTGCCGGGGCTGGAAGCCCGTGTACTTCCTACTTTGGCTGCTTCTTGTGGTCCCAGACACAAACTTTCACTTGTCCCTCATTGGCGTGAGCTTCTTCGTCTCGCAACGTTGGCGAGGGCGTGGTGGATACTCTTGCTGGTACGCGACACCAAATTGTGCTCATGTCACAAAACAAAATAAGTAGATAACATGTTGGTGAACATCGCACGCATTGTCCGCCTTCATTTTTCTTGGCTCTCAGTCATCGTATATTTTCTGAGTTGTACCCGTACAAACGCCAGAAGTTATATCATTCTCCAGAAACCGCTAAAACTGATCTACGAGGTCACCGCCGGTTGGAAACTATAGGTGAGTTGGAAACTCCTTTGGTACATTCTGGCTGGAAGGGCTCCCATGCCGCGATTTGGCCAACTTCTGCACGAAATCCTGGATACGCAACTGCTACCAAATCAGGTCCCTGGCTTACAATGCTAGCATGAAAAGGGCTGATACGTCCACCGAAGCCAAAGTACCGATGTACCTTTGATGTCCTAAGGACAGCAAAGATACACGGTGCATATACGTACGTGTATAACTCCACTGCGGTAAATCCTAGGAACTTCCACCTCATTCAAACCGCAATTTTCTGAGCTTCAGAAAATTGTCTTAAGTTAGAAAATGACATGACTTAGCCACACCTATTGAATCTCCCCACCTCACCGAGCATTAAGATATTGAGTTATACATTATGTTGGCGAGGGAATTTGGGAAATTATGGGCCGGACTGGGGTCCACAGGCTTATTTGCATTTGTTTTACAAAAAAGTGGGCCCAATTTCTACCCGATGCCTCTGATAACTCCGATGATGATGATAATGAGCTCCGGTACCTCCGATACCGTTAATCAAGTCAGTCTGATATGAACCGGTTTAAATTGCTAGGCCAATCCCCTGCCACAAGCTGACTCTGTTTCTCCTTTGGCGCTACTGAAAGTTGCGTGTTACTGGACCAATGTTATTGGATGATACATGAGACAAACTCAAGGAAAAAGGTGCGAATAAATATACCTAGCAACGTATGGATCAATATCAGGGTTACGTCCAGAGCATATCCCTTAATTGATATCGTGATCTTGTTCTTTGAAATGAATTAGACTTTCAGTCCAAGTTACCTGCACACCAGTGCCGTTGTTAGTGGCGACCAGGAGCAGCATGCTGTCTCATTTCCCTAAGGCGCAGCCAAAGGCTGACAGGGGGTGCTTTTGGTATTGGGCGCCATTCATGTACAGCGGGCTGGAAGGCGAAGTCGAGCCGCTATCCAGCAATGTTCCGTTCGGGCTGTGAGGCAGCAGGTGCTGGCTGCCGGTCGGGTGTGATTGCATGCCCGAGCATTACCCTACTTTGGTGTTATGCTTTTTCCGAAAATTCGCATTTGCACGCGTAGTCGAGTGTGCGTTTTGACATAATAGCATGACTCCGGGCAGACATTCCCACACGCCCGTGAGATTACCCTACACCAGCACAAATATAATGCAAATGCAACTTGGGATCCAAGAACAACTCCCGGGAACTTAATTAGTTCCGAGAACCATCCCAATGGCGGTCAAAGATTAATCGGTGACCGCAGAGGGCGCTCAGTAGGAGTCTGTGAGGCATGTGGTGGGCAAATATCGCATCGGAATGGAGACCGCGCCAACCCAATACGGAAGTTGGCCGAGAAAAGGAAGGATGTTCAACCTACGTTACATAGAAATAGATAAAGTTGACATTTTCATTCACTTTATCAAGTTATACGGGATTTACGGCGCCATATGTTACCTAATGTTTTACAATTTTAACATGAAAAATTAAGAAGTATGCATGACCACACGGGGCCAATTAAGTCTCAACAAAACGGGGGCGATTTCGGCACCCACGCACTTCCATGACATCATTTTCTTTTTGTGCTCCTTGCAGACATGGATCTGAACTTGTCTGAACTGCGGATCCATTTTCGAATAATTACTTCTTAAAGCCATGATTCAAGTGATTGACTTTTTCAGATAATTTTTTTTTTCGCAGATGATTGACATGCTTGTCGAATCTGACAATACATTCGGATCCATATTTCAGGTCTGGGAGGCCATCTGGACATTTTTTGAGGCCAACGAGTGTCACAAAGTGGGGTGGGAAGGGGGCTGGTGATTTGATGTAATCAAATAGACAAAACAATAAGTTGTTCGCCGCTGCCAGGGCCGGTGTCCCTGGATGGGATAGTAGTCTTCTTCGCTTTTTAGCGGCACAGTAAGGTGGGGTCTGCTAACTATTCAGAGACTGAGAAATCGCTTTTCGTTTTAACCAGGCGCCACCTGATGAGCTAATCTCAGCACCTTGCGTCGTGATTGTCACAACCCTGAAAGCAGACCAGTCTTCGAAATCAGACCTCTCAGTTTCAAGTCAGACAACTAGCAAACTTTCTAATGCGGGAACATGAGTTGGAAGGTTTCACGGAAGGAGTCACCTTACGTTTCGGCCTGTTTTTAGTCTTCAATGACTGGAGTCAATTGCAATCAAACAGCCAGAGGCAGTTTACTCACAGAGAAACAGGAACGTGGTGCAGCGGTAGTGCAGCTGGAAGGCCTTGCTGTCGATGTTGACCTGACCGGGCCGCTTGCCCTTCACCATCATGGCCACGTCTCCCAGCAGCGCGGTGATGGCCATGGTGGCTTCCTGGCTCCGGTGTCGGACGCTGCCGTCTCCCCCAGCACGTCTTCCGCTGACGACGAGCGCTCTGGCGGCCGCGTCGCCGCTCTCCGGCCGCCGGCGGTGTTCGTGGTGAAAAGAGCTCACGAGGACACAGGTGTGCGGCCACGCACCAGCCGCCAGCCGCCCCCGCCCGGCCCGGCCCCTGGCGTCGGTCGGCCCGTGATCGATACGCCGCCGCGCGCCGCCGGAGCGCTTTACAGCCGCGCCGCCGACCCCAGCGGCCCCACGTCCTGAGAAGGGGGGGGGGGGGGGGCGACGGCCTTTCAGTCGGCACATCGTGCGTGCATGCCTGGTTTGATAGCAAAACTGTGGATATATGTTAACGCGCGTTATGTTTGTGAAAGTGAGCATGGTAAGATCTGTACTTTGCCGGGCGGGCGTGATTGAAGCCTGGCCGGCGAACGGGGAGGGGTGCATGGTGTGTACCCGTTTGGTGCATTGTATCCCAAAGTCAACAGGAGAAGCCGGAAACGACATTGGTCACCTGAGTATCACCACAATTCAAAACGTTTCATCGCTTACAACTACAGTATACCATTGGGTAACCTGAAAACACAAAACCTTCCGCGAAAGCGATGATTACAAGGTATGGCCAATCGCCGAACTATTATATACGAACTACGCGCCTGCTCAGTTCATTTAGCCTTCGAGGTGCTACAGCGCTCGTTGATGGCTAATCAAACATGATCATTGGTAGATATCAGTCAAGTTAGTTTCACTACAAGCGATTGTACGCTTGCGTCGCTGCGTTAAGTTGATAACACGAATAACTTGGAACTGTCTATGTTTTGCAGTTGGATCCACGCTTTAACCGCTCTGGGTGCCGATATATGGTGCAAAATATGAAAGCAGTCGGAAATGGCCAAATTAATCTTGTTGGCTCATGCGCGCGTGACACAAGCTCCCGTGACATGGGAATTCATGCCACGTGATTGTCCGTCCTACTCCCTATCAAGGCATACCGCTCCCCAATGGCTTCGTTCCCCTGGTACTGAGATGTGGCACAACACTTCTAAAGCTGTCGAAAAATGCGGAATTCATCCTTTCTGTAGCGTGTGGGCGTGACACCTAGACCATGCGTAGGCAAACGTGAAAAAATACGACTGGCCGTTTAAATCCTTATCACGGCAATGCCAGTTACGTGTGGTTACGTGCTCTGAGTGCGGAAATGTGGGATGAAACGTAAATACCGACGAAATCAACAAAGTCCATAGTTACAGCTAGTGTGCACGTGGAACGTGCCGCGTGTGACAACGTGCCTTACACCACGTGATTGCCCGTTTGGTTGCTTACCGAAGCACACCACTCCCGAGTCGCCTTGTGCTCTGGGTGCCGAGATATCGCAAAAACGTTCAAACCCGTCGAAATTTGCGAAACAAATATTCCAGCACACGTGCACCACGGTACATGGCACGTGTGACGGTAAACTTGGTATCACCCAATGGCCTGTTCCACTCAATATTGACCCATAACACTCATGAACCACTTCGTACCTCTTTCCCGAGATGTGGTGCGAAACGTAAAAATGAGTGTAAGCTTAAAAATGCGTCTTGCCAGCACGTGTGCGTGGGATATGTGGTACGTGAGACGGTACCATATGGCAGGGCTACGATTTGAAATTCGATGCCCTATCGAAGCGTGCTACTCTCGAGTCTCTTCGAGCCCCGGGTGCCGAGATATGGCAAAAACATGTGAACCTGTCGAAAATAGACTAAGTCTTTAGCTAAGCACGTGGGCACCATGGCACGTGACACGTGTGACCACTCATTTTCACCTTGCCCGTTTCATTCCTCAGCAGAGCGCGCCACTCCCTAGCGTGTCCGTGTCCTAGGTGCCGAGGTGTGGCACGAAACGTGTAAACCCGTGGAAGGGAGCAAAATCCACCGTTATTGAGATGTTGGTGCGAGGTGGTATGGTCGGTGGGAGGCATTTAGATACGGCATCATGTCACCTGTGTGTCACGTGTTAAGCTACCAGGAGACGGTCAGCAACGCTCCGTCGCGGCGTAAAATAGCCGTCATGCAGCCCATTACTCTAGGCTCGTCTGCGAGCGGAATATTGTAAGATAAACAAAAGGATCATAAGGAGGCAGAGTGAATTGGCAAACACGCTGAAGTTTCAACATCCAAATTATGGACAGTTTTGACGGGTAGAGGCTTGTTTTCGGTGCCGACTTTTCGAACTGTGTCGCTGGCAACTTGGCTTGCAATTTGCAGTTTAACCGTGCGTTGCACAATTTCGGAGTGCGCACTTACATTGTGGTCGCAGCAAAGGTGAAAAGTTAAGAAACAAAATTCATACTTGTACTAGCACTGGGTGCCGATATGTGGAATCAAAACGTAGTGTGTCAAAAAAACGGGCCAATTTCACCCTTTCCAATACATGCGCACGTGCTACGTGCGACGTGGCACCACATACTTATCACCATTCGATGGCCCATGTGCTTGTCTATCTAGGTGTGGAACTTCCGTGTCACTACGACCCCTTGTTATCAAGCTATGGCCCCGGGAGTGCACGCGCGGCGGGCCGTCGGTCGATGGTCGTGAAATTCGCGTCGTCCAGTGTTAAGCCTATGAGGATTTTGCGAGAATTATCTTAAGCACACAGACGCACCCTGCCAGCAGTGCCTCAGTCGTGTGAAAATCTCGCTCGAAAATCCCCGACCGTTTAGCCTGTGCATGATCGGCAAGAATCGCTAGCGGTCACAGCCCACAGTTGCTTCTTTAGCAGTGATAAACATACGCCGACGACGCTGTTTTTCTTCAACAGCATCTCCTGGTTTCTTGAACGGTGAACAACATGAATTAATGGAATCCTCTGAGATGCGCAAGCTTAGTACTGGACGTATTAGGATATCGTGCGTGGCTATCGGCGTCAGCAGATCAGAATTATTTGAGAAGCGACCAGGGCATGCAATGGATTGAGGAAATGCAAATATGTGACGTAGCAATTTCAAACAATAAGGAAAATATCACACAAATATATATTAGATCCACCTACAGAGCGAGAGAAGTCCCGACAGGAACTAGCAGTTTTAAGCTTTCTCCTCATATTTAAAATGGCGTCCCCGTTTAGAGCACTTCCAAATCTGCTTAATACAACCATGAACAAATTTAGATAAAACTTCTGTCTTTACATGAAGCAGCGGGCTGAATCGCATGAGAAGGAACGTGTTAACACAGAAGCATGCTTGCAATGGTGCCTTGCACGCAGTTGCCATATAAGCCTTTGTTGACAGCATAAGCTGTTGCGACTGGATAGACTGACAGTTATCGATACTGTGCAAGGTAACACGGCATATCCAGAACTGGGTTCTATGAAATATATTCCACGCTAGTGTTTCGTAAAGAAGCTATTAACCAGACGAACAGCACACTCTAGTGGTGTCTGGTGGTGCCTGAAAGGGTTTGAGCTAGTATGTTCGTGATTATCCTTCTCACTTGAGGAAATCGAAGGCCTTAGTTTTCCGATCACAAAAAACAATCGTTTGGAGTTGGATGAACCGGGACTCTTCCCTTCATCAGATCCATTTGGTAAAGATGCAAGGAGAATGCATAGAAAGGAAACGCTAGCGACGTCTTTTTGCATGAAAACAACATTTATGTGCTATGCATCAGTTAGCAGCATCAGTGTATTGGAAACCATTCACATCATGGCCATTACGGTTTCAGATCACACAGTTGAAGTATGGAACAGCACGCACAGGAGGTATGCCAAAAATGATACGAACAGTAGTCAAAGAGCTAAAACAGATCTATCAATCGAGACGAGAACACCCTCCGTGTGATGGTCAGTCGGTGTCGGTACGCAGGTGCAGACTATCTCTGTCCGAGGCGTGCTTTTCACGGGTCGAAACAGCGGAGCGTGGTGCAGAAAGTGCGCGGACCTGGTGACAGGCTCTTTCAGCACCTTAAACACTTTTGTGACGCCGCGGTGCGCCACCATAGCCTCGATCCTCGGCCACCCAGGAGGATTTGGACCCGGAGTGATAAAATGGCGATCTTTTGGAGTCAGTGCTTACCGCTGCAGCAAAGTTGATTGTTTTCGAACTTTGTGTAATTGACTCTTGGTCGTCCCACCCCACACGCACAGGCAGTACGTGATATGAGGATATCATGTATATATATATATATATATATATATATAAATATACATATATATATATATATATATATATATATATATGATTTGAAGACATCTATAATACGTGATATGACATACGTACGCCTGGATAATGACTTTTAGAGGATCTGAAGTGAAGCTATGACGGAATTTGTACACTGAAACGAGGATGGCATTGCATTTTTGGCGACGCTCAAGACATGGGAACCGCATGGCGGACCGGAGTCAACTATGACGCCGATGATTTAGATGCTACTTGAGGCATGCACAGTCGAACCGTTTACTTTTAAAGCTAAAGTCAGTTGACTTTTAAAAATTTTGTGTGATTTAACGAGCAGAAAAGAAGTTTTTGTTCCATTCATTTGGAGAGAAGTGGCACTGAACCACTTGTAAAGCTCGCGCATGTAAGTTCCAATCTGGTTTTGAAATCGACAAGACCCGGTCCGTCAGGGGGCGCGCAGCGCACGTGCATGGTGTCGTCAGCGTAGGAAATGAGGCGGCCATGATTCAAGTATCCATATGGATCGTTGGTAAACAAAATTAACAAAACTGGACCGATAATCGAGCCCTGGGGTGCATCGCATGCCATGGGGAGAGTAAGCTGCCCCCCACGCACTACCTGCCATGGACCACTCAAATAGCTCCTACATTGGTAATGCTATGCCAAGACAGTTTGCTGAGAAGGACGCCGTGGTCGACGCGATCGAACGCCTCTGACAAATCGATCGTCGTTGCCGACCATGCAAAACGGTCGTCGGTGTTGGTGACCAGGCGCTCGATTGCGGCGAGCACGGCATCCCCGGTCGGGTGGCGCGGCCTGCAGGCATGCTGGGATCAATGTAGCAGCGTTGCCGCGTTCAAGTATTACATTAACTGTGTGCAAGTTACCTTTTCTAAGATCTTAGAGAGCACGCTGAGTTGAGATATGGGTCTATTATTGGACGGTACAGTCGCATCACCTGACTTCGGAGCTGGCGCAACACATGCCGTCTT